ATTGGTATATATGTGGATGATTAGGAGGCCATGATGAGCCACTGGGGAAATTGGGATTTTTAATGACCACAGAAAGTCAGGACCTCGGTTTAACGTCTCATCCGAAGGACGGTGCTCTTTGACAGTATAGTATCCCCATTACTATACTGGGGCATTAGGACCCACACAGACCACAGGGTGAGCACCCACTGCTGGCCTCACTAACACCTCTTCCAGCAGCAACCTGGCTTTCTCAGAAGGTCTCCCATCCAGGTACTAACCAGGCTCAGCCCTGCTTAGCTTCAGTGGGCAACCAGTCTTGGGCTACAGGGTGATATGGCTGCTGGCTGCTAAATCATGGGGTAATTTTAATTTTGGGGGTGAACGATCCCTTTAAGTGTTAGGCGTATAGTTTTTCTTCACGAAGTGACCTCACCAAATGTTCTGGCATGCGTAATGCAACATTTTAAATGGGTCCTATTATGCTTTTCCACTTTTTCAACTTTAGATAGTGTGTTTGTTTAATTAAATTTGTGCTTGCATTTGGATCCTGCTTCTTCCTTCTCTGCTGCTTCATAACAGAAGAACTCACCAGTTAATGAATCCTGCAGTACGGATCTCGCCTGATCCACACAGCCTAAACTGGGAGTTCGTTGGACAGATCGCAGCCTTGGCCCAGATGTCTGAAGAGCTTCCTCCTGTGGCACGCCAGGTCATCATCTGATCTTCACGTCCCGTCCAGCCCAGAGCCTTCTCCCCTGGTCACATCCAGCACTGACCCTTCGCTGCTGGTCCTGTCCAGTTCAGAGCCGTCAGCCCTGCCGAGCCTGAGCTCCACATCAACCCTGCCGATCCAGAAACTGTTCACGTCACTTCTGCTGATCCAGAGACTGTTCATGTCACGTCTGCTGATCCAGAGACTGTTCACGTCACTTCTGCTGATCCAGAGACTGTTCACGTCACTTCTGCCGATCCAGAGACTGTTCATGTTATTTCTGCCAATCCAGAGACTGTTCACATCACTTCTGCCCAGTCAGAGACTGTTCACATCACGTCTGCTGATCCAGAGACTGTTCACGTCACTTCTGCTGATCCAGAGACTGTTCACATCACGTCTGCCGATCCAGAGACTGTTCACGTCACTTCTGCCGATCCAGAGACTGTTCACGTCACTTCTGCCGATCCAGAGACTGTTCACGTCACTTCTGCCGATTCAGAGACTGTTCACGTCACTTCTGCCGATCCAGAGACTGTTCAAATCACTTCTGCCGATTCAGAGACTGTTCACGTCACTTCTGCCGATCCAGAGACTGTTCACGTCACTTCTGCCAATTCAGAGACTGTTCACGTCACTTCTGCCAATTCAGAGACTGTTCACGTCACTCCTGCCAATTCAGAGACTGTTCACGTCACTTCTGCCAATTCAGAGACTGTTCAAGTCACTTCTGCCGATCCAGAGACTGTTCACGTCACTTCTGCCGGTTCAGAGACTGTTCACGTCACTTCTGCCGATAAAGAGACTGTTCACATCACGTCTGCCGATCCAGAGACTGTTCACGTCACTTCTGCCGATCCAAAGACTGTTCACGTCACGTCTGTCAATCTAGAGACTGTTCACGTCACTTCTGCCGATAAAGAGACTGTTCACATCACGTCTGTCAATCTAGAGACTGTTCACGTCACTTCTGCTGATCCAGAGACTGTTCACGTCACGTCTGCCAATCTAGAGACTGTTCACGTTATTTCTGCCAATCCAGAGACTGTTCACATCACTTTTGCCCAGTCAGAGACTGTTCACATCACTTCTGCCCAGTCAGAGACTGTTCACATCACGTCTGCTGATCCAGAGACTGTTCACGTCACTTCTGCTGATCCAGAGACTGTTCACATCACGTCTGCCGATCCAGAGACTGTTCACGTCACTTCTGCCGATCCAGAGACTGTTCACGTCACTTCTGCCGATCCAGAGATTGTTCACGTCACTTCTGCCGATTCAGAGACTGTTCACGTCACTTCTGCCGATTCAGAGACTGTTCAAGTCACTTCTGCCGATCCAGAGACTGTTCAAATCACTTCTGCCGATTCAGAGACTGTTAACGTCACTTCTGCCGATCCAGAGACTGTTCACGTCACTTCTGCCAATTCAGAGACTGTTCACGTCACTTCTGCCAATTCAGAGACTGTTCACGTCACTTCTGCCAATTCAGAGACTGTTCACGTCACTCCTGCCAATTCAGAGACTGTTCACGTCACTTCTGCCGATCCAGAGACTGTTCACGTCACTTCTGCCGGTTCAGAGACTGTTCACGTCACTTCTGCCGATAAAGAGACTGTTCACATCACGTCTGCCGATCCAGAGACTGTTCACGTCACTTCTGCTGATCCAGAGACTGTTCACGTCACGTCTGCCAATCTAGAGACTGTTCACGTTATTTCTGCCAATCCAGAGACTGTTCACATCACTTTTGCCCAGTCAGAGACTGTTCACATCACTTCTGCCCAGTCAGAGACTGTTCACATCACGTCTGCTGATCCAGAGACTGTTCACGTCACTTCTGCTGATCCAGAGACTGTTCACATCACGTCTGCCGATCCAGAGACTGTTCACGTCACTTCTGCCGATCCAGAGACTGTTCACGTCACTTCTGCCGATCCAGAGATTGTTCACGTCACTTCTGCCGATTCAGAGACTGTTCACGTCACTTCTGCCGATTCAGAGACTGTTCAAGTCACTTCTGCCGATCCAGAGACTGTTCAAATCACTTCTGCCGATTCAGAGACTGTTAACGTCACTTCTGCCGATCCAGAGACTGTTCACGTCACTTCTGCCAATTCAGAGACTGTTCACGTCACTTCTGCCAATTCAGAGACTGTTCACGTCACTTCTGCCAATTCAGAGACTGTTCACGTCACTCCTGCCAATTCAGAGACTGTTCACGTCACTTCTGCCGATCCAGAGACTGTTCACGTCACTTCTGCCGGTTCAGAGACTGTTCACGTCACTTCTGCCGATAAAGAGACTGTTCACATCACGTCTGCCGATCCAGAGACTGTTCACGTCACTTCTGCCGATCCAAAGACTGTTCACGTCACGTCTGCCAATCTAGAGACTGTTCACGTCACTTCTGCCCAGTCAGAGACTGTTCACATCACGTCTGCTGATCCAGAGACTGTTCACGTCACGTCTGCCAATCTAGAGACTGTTCACGTTATTTCTGCCAATCCAGAGACTGTTCACATCACTTTTGCCCAGTCAGAGACTGTTCACATCACGTCTGCCGATCCAGAGACTGTTCACGTCACTTCTGCCGATCCAGAGACTGTTCACGTCACTTCTGCCGATTCAGAGACTGTTCACGTCACTTCTGCCGATCCAGAGACTGTTCACATCAACCCTGCCGATCCAGAGACTGTTCACGTCACTTCTGCCGATTCAGAGACTGTTCACGTCACTTCTGCCGATCCAGAGACTGTTCACGTCTGCAGATCCAGAGACTGTTAACGTCACTTCTGCCGATCCAGAGACTGTTCACGTCCGGTCTGCCGAACCAGCGTCCGTTCCTGAGCCTAAACCAGCTTCTGTTCCTGAGCCGGAGTGGGTGTCACGGTGTGGGTTCTTGTCTTGTTCTTTGTGTGTTCTTGATGTTGTTATGTTGCCTGTAGCTGTCTCTGTGTACCTGTCCTGAGTTTCTGTGGATTACCTGTTTGTTTAATTAATTTGTGCTTGCATTTGGATCCTGCTTCCTCCTTCTCTGCTGCTTCATAACACATGGCGACATGAGGGCGAGTCATTGATGACTTAATTTTACTAACCCTTTAAAGAACTTTGAAGTTTTAGAGTGGTTAAAACTTATTTATCCGTTGCAAATTTTTGGAGAACAGCTTGTTTTCTGTAGCTTTTGTAAGGCTGCTCACTGCCCTTTAGGAAATTAGCCATGTTTTTTGGGGTTGATTATTGTTTGTATTACCATAGTTTTCCAACAAATATCACAATTAAATGGTGGATAACAATGTATGTATAATACAATGACAAAGTATACCACTGAAACGTCCTGTGAAATCTGTGCCTGCAAAGTCCGTTCTGCGTGATCTTCTTGTTCGTTAACACTGTCAGGGTCTGAATCATGCTCAAATTTGATTTGAATTGAGATCATCCTCAATATTTATACAGAGAAGAACTCTATGGAGGAACTTGACATTTCCCGAACACATGCCAAGCGCTGCCAAACACAAGACACTGGGCCAGCTAACCAATGACAGGCAGCACATTTTGTATTTCGGAAGGAGGGGTTTCATTGAAATTGGCGTGTGCGAGCCAGACTGTGGAGAGAGCTGCTTTGATATTGTACATTTGCAAATAATGATAATAATAATACATTATCAAAACATATTCTAGAACATGTACACCCCAAAAACAAAATCCAGACAGTAAAAGAATGTATAAAGGAAAAACAGTTTGGAGTCACCTCAAAATTTGCCCAGTTACGCAGGAAAACCGCAGACTTGGCAACATTGTTTAGATAAAGCTCTAAACAGACACACCTGAACAAGCTGAGCAAGGTCTTCAGGATTACTAGAAAGCTAGAGGCAGGATTGGAGCTAAATGCTGTAGGACAGTGGATATCGAACCAGTTTTGCCCTGTTTTTAAAAAAGTAGAGATTGATCATGTTGCAATAGTTTATAAAACAATAGCTATATAAACTCAAATATATTTTCATTCAATAATCAAGGCAAGCCATGATTCATACAAAACACTTTTCACTCAAAACACACTGCTTTGATATCCTCAGTCATTCTTGACTAAACTTGTGTTGTCCCTATTACAGATGCTGAAATTATAGAATTTAAAATTTATCTAGTGCTGCCACCAAGTGTCTACATGCCAAAAAAGCATTCTTCCTCTGAATCCTGACTAATTAGGCTATTACAAATCATTTGCTCATCAGTGTTTGAGTATAATATACATTTCATGAGAGATGCATGTATAAACACTACAAACTTACAAACTGCCAAACTTAAATGGAGAAGAAAGGGGCATTTTAGTGGGCATTTGTCTCATTTTTCACTGGATCACAAAGTCTCACATAGGACCCTTTCCCTGCCAGTCCAAACCCAGGAAAAACAGGCTCTCTGAAAACAGTTTTGTGCTGATAAATGAGACTCATGTTGTCGGACACATCGTAAAATGCCAAGATTCCAGCCCTGTAGTCCAAATACACTCCTATTTTGGAGCCACAAGATTTAATCTTCGAAAAAATTTTCTTATTGTCCTGCCAAAATTCAATCCAGGACCAGTTACAACGTATTCCCCATGAGTGCGAGTTTCTCCCAAACAGAGTACGCTGCTTGCCTTTCCTACGGATACCTTGGTAGGACACAGCAATGCAGACCCAAGTGCCCCCACCAAACTCCACCTCCCAATATTTAGGCGACCCTCTGAGACGTTCATTGCACAGGATCTGTGCCCTGGAGTCAAACCTCTGAGTCTGTTCAGGATAGTCCTGGATCAGGTGTGAGGCCAACACCTCTCTGTCATCTTTTTTTAAGATGAGACTTTCATGGGCTGTGTTGGTATTAAAAGTGAGCTTTGATGCATCTGAGGTGAACAGATGGACAGATGAAAAGATGCGATATTAGTAAAACAACCATACAGTAAGCATAACTTTTGCAATTGCCAAATTAACAAAAGATTTTCTGTGCATTCAGTTCTATACTGGAAACTTACACTGTAGAAACTCCTCTCGAGTCTTTGGCGGTGGGGATGTTACGATTCTAGTATTTTTCACTGCAAAGAAAAATAGTTAAGATGAATTAAAGTCATTTTCAACTATAAAATATATTTAATATTTAAATAAATCTTTTGCCAACCTTTTCTGGAAATTGTCAGTAAACTCAACTTGGAGGTCATGTTTAGCTTTTTTGTCAGTTCATTAACTGCCATGGAGTCACGCTCAAAAGAGTTGTATGGATGCACATGGAAGACAAATGGTTTTTTATACTCGGTCAGTGTGGGCAGAGACACAGCGCTCTGTAGAGAGTACACAATACTTTAATTGCACTTGAAAAGTGACTGTCCCTTCAACTGACACTTTTGACCATACGTCAACATCCGCCGTTTTAGGGTATCCTTTAACGTCGTTAGATGACTCTTTGTAATCCTAACCCTACCCCAGACCTAAACCTACCCTCGTCATCTAACTGAAGTTAAAGGTAAAGCGTCAGTTGGATGACGCCCCAGGATCGTCATCTAACTGACGTTAAAGGGTACCCTAAAACGGCGGATGTTGACGTATGGTCAAATGCATCAGTTAGTTGACGTCTTGGGATGAGACTGTGTTAGATCAAGGCAATCCGACAAGAATCCATTTCTACATTTGTTTCACAGCCATCTCGAATGTACCTCAAGAAATCGAACATTATTTCCTGTATGAGAGAGCAGCTGCAGGTGTTGTAGATCAGCATCTGAGGTCTTCATATGACTAATCTCCTGGAGTAGAGTCTTTATGAATCCCTCAGCTTGCTTCACTGCAGTCTGTGTCTGACCTTGGATCAGCTCTGTCACTTTGGTTTGATTGTCCTTCAAAGACTGGATCAGCTCAGTAAACTCTCCCTCATTCTTCTCCAGTGCCCTATTTGCTGAGGCCTAATAGTGAACAGGGATGAGTGGGTGTCTTAAAATTAGCTACACAAGCAATACTATACCATATTTTCTTTTTTTTTTTTTTTTAAAGTTTACAGGTTTAAAACAAAGTTAAATGCCCTCTAACCCTGAAAATTTCAACAGCTTGTCTCAGCTCTTGCACATCTTTCTCCTTTGCTTCAATTATGTCAAGGTTTTGCTTCTGCAACTCCTCCAACTTAACCTTTAAAAGAAACATAATTGCAATTAAAATTCAGTAGAACAAATTCTAGTGTTTTAAGCCTTTTTATCTCTTTTATTGGCACTGATATAGTAGAGAAAAAGAACATGCACTCAAATTCATTCCACCCACACAAGCAACGTGTTGAGTATGTGTGTTAACCACTGGTAATAGGCTGGTATTTGGCCAGTTTGGCATTATAAGTCAAGCGCTTAAAATATTATGTGTATTTTCAGTCATCTTTAGTCAGATTAATTTACATTGTGACTGTGCTAAGATGGAATCAACTGTCTTATACAAATGACAAAGAAACATCACTGTAAAAAAAATAATCGTGATTTTAACGGTAAAAACTACAGTGCAAAACTGTTAATTGGTTAACAGAAAGTTCCCGTACTATATAGGGTAAATAACTGTGATATAATTTTACTGTAAAATACCGTTAAATTTACAGGTTTTGAAAGTTTAAAAGAACAACTCATTGTATAATTTACAGTGAAAAATGTGACATTCCCACAGTTCCCTGTGTGACACTTCACATAGTATGTATTTTTTGTTGAAATAACTATGGTTCCTGATAGTTTTCTTGTTTTTTTTTTTTTGTTTTTTTTTTCTAATCAGTTATGGACATTAGGGTTGTCAGTGTATTACAATGGTACAAAACAGATATCAATTTTTCAAAAGGTTGGTAAATCAACATTTTATCAGAAAATGAAATACAGTTTATTACTGTAACCATTAACGTTCTTGTATTTTAATGGTAAAGTTCTGGCAACCACAGCTGCCGTTTTTTTACCGTAAAAAAATTACGTTTTTATTTTTTTACAGTGCAGCATTTCTCCGCGAAAATTGCAGAGTAGATCAATCTCCTGTGGAAGGTCCCCTAACAGTTTAATATTGTTTGTAGCCCATTTGTCTTCATGTATAAAGTTAAGTCTTTGGGTTAAGATTCATTGAAGGCCGACAAGATCACATCGCTGCTGAAGAACTGGGCTACACAATAACAATTCTTCTCCCCACAAGAACTCTGGTCAAGCTTCCTTTTCGATGTATTAGAGTCTGAGACATCAACATGTCTCTCAGTTTTCCTCCGGTCTGAAAAAAGCTGGCCAATCAACGAACATAGACACTAAGCACCGAGTTTGATTGGGGAAATCGAAAATGACCGCTGGAATGGAGACACGGGATGCAATTCGCTCTGTTGTGGAGAATATTCCTGGCATTTCCAAACTGAAGGCCGAACAACTGCCGGCACTGACTATGAAAGTTACAAAAGCAACTAGTAACTCTCTAGTTACAAAACCAACACCAGCCCATCAATACTAAACACCAAGTCCTGGCTTGAAAGAAAGAGATTCTGCACTTTTAAATCGCACTTCTGACCTGTTTATTGGCCACCTCCACTTCCATTGCGATGACATTATGGCCTCTGTGTTTCTCAGTAATGCACAGGTGACAGATGCAGCGTTGGTCTGTTTGGCAGTACAACTCCAGCATCCTGCCATGGTCAGGGCAGATGTTCTCCTGCAAGGTTGCTTTCGGCTCCACCAGTCTGTGCCTCTTTCCGTGCAAAGTGTTATGCAAATCAAGATGCATTTCACAGTATGATTCCACACACTCCAGACAGGTCTGATCAGCTTTGCGTTTCCTTCCGACGCACGCATTACACTCCACATCTGTGGATCCACTTGAATGAAGAGCTGGAGCTGTTTCCTCCATGATTGTGGATGTGCTGGCACTGGCAGTATTTGACTGAGTTTCGTTTATGTGGAAGTATGATTAAAGCACTGGCAATGCAGGATTCAAATTCTGAGGACAAGGGTGTGGTTTCAGTGACTCAGAGGACTCCTGTTTACAAAACCACTGAAAGAAGCCACGCTATGTTCTTTCACAATAAATAAATCTAATCAAACAGAGAAAGCAACTACTCTGTTGTATTTATGTATTCAGTGTCACATAATCCATTCCTTCAGAAGTCAATCTAATGCCAATATGGTACTCAAGAATAATTTCTTAACATTATTATAAATATTAAGTTCAAAAGAACAACATTTTTGTTGTTTTCACAGGGCATGAAAGCAACAAGACGATATTAATATGAGCTTCATTTTTATAATCAGTACTGTTTTAGGAATTTGTAAATGTATTTGTATACAGTGAGTTTGCTTTGGCAGAACCCTTAGGGCAAACAATATTTGATTACTTCAAACAACAATCCTGGGTTGCAAACAGGCAGATATATTAATGCCAGTATGGCAACTACCACTAACAAAAACAAATACTAACATAGATGAATACTGCAGTAAACTATATAATTCACACCGCATTTTTCAAACAATATTAAACGCAACTATTTATTTATTTGAGCTATTCACAATCATGTTTGTTACAGAAGTCTTAAGATTACACAATAATGGAAGCTCAAAAGGAGTAGGCTAAAGCAAGGATGCTTTCTGTGTTTTTTCTGTGTGATTGTTGCATTTGTCATAATTGGTGGGAAGCAACGGAAGGCGTAAAGTTCTTGCGCACAGACGCATGCTTGTGAAATGACAAAATGCTATTAAAATTGGTGCTTCTCAAATGGAAGGTTGCCAAGTGAACAAGTGTTGTCAAAGGCCATCTCAATTTGAAGGATCCTTGGAAGGCAGCCTTATTTTTGTGCTCTTCATTCAGCTAATTTTGAGAGATGCATCAAGTGTATCCTTCATGTCCTTCAATCCTTTTAGACCCACAATTCTTTCCACACAATTCACACAAAAAAAAAGAACTGATGAAAACGAGTTGACACTGAGCTTGTCTGAGTTCATTATGAAATGTAAGACAAAAATTATATTTTTGGAGAAGAAGTGTTAGTGTTAAAAAAAAATTATCTTTTGTTTTGGTGTGAATGGGCTTTATGCACAGCTGCACTACTTTTTGAACTTCAGCCAGCTCCTTGTTTCCTGTATGCCATTATTGGGCAAAATTGATTAATTCAGGTGTGTCTGATTATTGTTGCCGTGACTACTGAGGTCAAGCACACCTGAATTAATCAATGTGTCCAATAATGGCAGACAGGAAACAAGGAGCTGGCTGAAATTCAGGAAGTAGTAAAGCTGTGCATAAAGCCAATTAATCACTTAACACTAAACTGCCACTGGGAGACCACAGACGGTTGTCAATCATTGCATTGCATTAGTAGAAACCAGTTAATATAAAGATTTGTAATACAACAAATTTTTCCAAAATTAAGTTTTAATGGTATGGTCATGTTGTGATAGAGGGGAAGGGAACATGTGTGACATAGCCATGCACACTTACGAGACCGTCTCATTCTAGCATTTGCTGAGGAGGAATCTAGTCTACAAGCATCTTAAGGACTGGACCGGCTGATCGGCACCTACGGGTGCTCTGGGGTGCAGAGAATTTATGGCCAGCAGGGGGACGGCGGGGCCTCACGCATTTGCATGATTTGTATGGTGGTTAACAAAACTGTTGAGTATGTCTATTCTTCACTATCTTTGCAAAGCCACTGTCTTTGTCTGTGTCACTGCAATCCTAAGCAGCCTTCGTAGTCATTGTTTGTCCTGGTTTTGAACTGTCAGCGTTTTTTCTTGGATCATGGAATTGGATTTTTTTTTTTTGCTGGATCTTATATACTCTGACTTTGACTCCAGGCACATGTCTCTCTGAATTGCAACAAATTTCTTCTTCATAGCCTATACTGGTTTTACCACTGTACCAGAGGCTTTACAACAAGATTTTGCTGTGTGACTAAATGTCACAAATGTTGTTTTTTTTAAAAAACTGAGATTAACAGAGAAAACTGAGATTTTTTTAATAACTGAGATTATAAGAGCTAACTTCAAATGAACAGACACAAATTAAACAATAATTGCGTTTTTTCAATAATTCAATAATTAGTATTCGAGTAAAAACTTAAAACGGTAAATTAGAGTTAGTAATTCCTAGTCAAATCATTTCTCTTGTGTCTATTTATTATGCACTGTACTTCTGTCACATGTCTGCTGTCTTTATTTCCATCCTTTATCTTTTATCACTGTTCTTTTATCTTTAGTTTCATTTATGGCGTATCATTTCTCAAATCTCTGTTTCTGCTCAGTTACATAAATGGATTTGCTCGTCTGTTTTAAGTCTTTTGACTTAAACTGATGATCTTTGACTTTTGTTGATGATCTGCTGAAGCAGTGTTGATAGTCAGAGGTTATTGGATTTATTAATCCAAATCATTCATCACAGCAAAAGCTAGTCTTTCAGTTTTGTATCCTACATCAATCCTACTGGGAATGAGAAACCCCTTTAAAACCCTAGAACAAAAATCAGGTTCACACCTGGTTAAAAATCTTTGTAAAAATGTTTTATAACAGTAAAGCATAATTTATTTGGACGACACTTGCGTTTTGATTTTGTTATCTAACATTCATGCATTTTAAGTATATGTTTTTTCTAAATACTTTCCGGGCCACTCTACTATATCATCGTCCATAAAGAATAATTAAGTTAGAAAAGTTCAAGTTATTTATCAACATATCATATGGTGGCTCAGAGCAAATAATGGATTACGTAATGACTGACACCTACTGTGTTATTTGAAGAATCACTTCCTTATGTTTAAAATAGCCAGCTGAGATGAACTGATAAGATAAGCCTATAAGGAAAGTCTTAGTTTCTCACCACACACATAGGTCTAGAGTAAAATAAATCAAATAAAAAAAACAAGTCGGCTAAATAGAATTTGATTCAGCCTATAATATATTATTAATATTATTCGACTTTTTATTTCTGTTGTATTTAAGAACTTCTCAGATCATAGTTCTGGTCATACCCTCTGTGACGTTGTTAAATAAAAGTGAAACTATCTGTAAAACTGTTCAACTTCTGCTGCACTGCCGTGGAGGTAGGTTGGTGTTTTTGTTATGTTTAAATCTGCATTATTATTGTAACTGTAATTAAATTTGCATTTTCAAATTGTGTTCTTGTAAATTATTAAAGAGAATTGGTTCACTATCTTATAAGCAAAATAACTGAAAATAAGAAATATAGAGTATATTATAGTATGTATAATACAAACAGCATTTTAAGAGCACATACTGCGAGATTATATACTGTATATTATTGATGTCCCGACCAAGTTTTTTGTGCCCCCGGTCCTATTTGTGTCATTGAATATTGAGTATCTGCCAAATCCCAATCTGATACTTGTATTGGTGCACGCTTCAAATACAAGTTAGTACAATCAGTGCAATATACAGGGATGTGCTAAAGAGTTTCTCAGGGATGGCAGGGGCTCAATGTGAAAAAGAGGTATCATATCTCTCTCTCTCTCTCTCTCTCTCTCTCTCTCTCTCTAAGCTTCTTCTTTAAACTACTATTCTATGGTTTTCGATATAAACTTATTCTATTTTATATGTACACAAAGCAGAATAATTGCTTATGATAATTGGAGATAAGGTTAGAGCATTACTGTATATTCCAAATAAAAAATAGTTTTATCTTTAGTTTCACTTCAGTAATGCTCTGAAGTTTTTACGTCTTTATTAAATTGTTCTTTAAAATACAGATTTTACTAAATGCAAATGGCTAATTATGGGGGAGAAAATAGACCAAAATGTTAAAAGGAGGGCTGTGCTGTGTTTAAATGGATAGTTGATGAAAAATTCTGTCATCATTTACTTTTCCAGTCTTATTCTGTGAAACAATACTTTGGAAATGTATTTGCAAAAATGTCTCCAGTTTTGTGTTCATGTAATAGCATGTTTTAGATGCCACTGACTTTCATTGCATGCACAAAAACAGTACATAGATTCTACAAATATATGAAGAGTTCAGATGCAAAAGCCTCTAAGTGCCATTTGAAATTTTCTTCTAAAATGATCATTTTTATTAAGCTTGTATATTTAAGTTCAGTAATTTCACTTAAATGGCAATGGAGATTACCTATTAATTGTCATTTAAGTGCAATTACTGAACTTAAATATACAAGCTTCATAAAAATTGTCATTTTAGAAGAAAATTTCAAATGGCATTTAGAGGCTTTTGCATCTGAACTCTTCATATTCAGTTGTGTTCCACTGTAAAAAGAAAAAAGAAAAGCAAATACAGGTTTGAAATGACATGGATGTCTAACTGAATGATGACAGAATTTTTATTTTGAGAGTTTTTAAGATTTTGGACAACACTGCTTTAAGCAAACCACAAAAATAACTAATGTGTTGCAACATTTATCTGAAGGTTTGTTTACCTGTACTGTCGTCGGAATACAGCAACAAGATGTTTCGGACATTCGTGTTTGGGAGCTCTTCTTGTTCTTGTTGTGTGTGCCCTGGGTGTTTCTTTGCAGACCTTCAACCAAATTGGCATAGTGACAAACGATCCTACATAATGTATCATGGCACTACAATGTGTAATGCGATGAGGATCATGAGCGAGGGCTTCTTTCCTTCCACTGATGGCATGCTGGGTCCTGGAGTCTATGTCTCTAGAAGCTTTGAAAAAGCCTCCCGTTACCCTCTGCATTCACATGGGGAGGTGCTTGCTGTTCTCAGACTCAGCGTGAGAGTGGGCACGGTGAAGAAGATCGACTACCAGGGTCACCCTTTACAGAAGACCTGGTATGAGCATGGATATGACACAGCGTGGGTTCCTCCGAACTGTGGCATGGTGAACAGTGGGCTAGAGGAGAACTGTGTGCATGATCCAACCCGAATCACAGTGCTGGACGTCATTCCAAACCCCAGATTCTGGTAGATTCTGTAAAAAAAAAAAAAAATGAATTTACTCAAAAACACACAATTTGAATTATGATTTTGTTT